GAGTTATTTTATATCTTAATCTGACATATTTTGATATAAAAAATAAAATATCTCGTAAAATATTTAGTTTTCGATAATCTCACCGTAATACTTTTATGTACAGAATAATGAGACAAATCAATTAGTATAAAAAAAAAATAATTGTTTTTAAGGAATATGTAATTATTTACAATGTATTTTTTTAAAGAATTATTTGTTTTTTTTTACACGAGCAGCGCACGAATTATCGTCTGTTCCATCCGCTAAGCTAGCTTTGCACCTCGCTCCGTGTGAAGCGAAAACTTGCAGCGCGCCCAGCTTAGCTTTATGCAATGTAAAGCGCAGGGCAGCAAGCAGCAAATCATGCATGCTACCCAACACGAAAAATCGCATCGTGGGAAACGGGCTTAACTCTGAAATCAGAGTTTCGCATTGTCACCGCGCGAGTCCAATATCGATTCGGAGTTTGGCCGTCACTCCTGCCGACCCTTAATACATATGTATCACGTGCAGTTACACAAAGATATACATATATAGTAAATTAAAAAAATATATGAACATTTTTTAACTTATTTGAAATAATTTTAATCATCATGAATTAATACTAATAAACTTATTAATACAATCAAAGTTAATTAGGGATATCAAATTCTTTAATTTTTTTATTGATTTATATCTTTTTATGTTATATTATGTAGAATAATATAAATATTTAATATATAATATATATTTTATAATAGAGTTTTATAAGAAATGTTTTTACTGGTATATTACTTTTAATATTTCAATGTATTGCACATATATATTTCTGGCTATGATTGGATAAGGATAAAGGTTTGTAAAATAGGTAATTGTATATCTAAATGATACTCAGACATTTCAATATTTCATTGTTAATAATTATAAATATAATTTGTTTCACACATAACTTCAGTGTATTATACAGAGAATAATATTTGATCGCTGATGAGTGGAAAGTTTCAAATTACAATCCTATCAAGAGAGATATATACCATAATCTTACAATTAACTTATTCGCAAAAAAAAAAAGATCAAATGTATAATTCACAACTTTTATTGTTATCTATCTTGCTAAAAGATAGCATCAGCATCAATATTTTTCATTCGTTCAGCGATTATAAAAACATTAATCAAACAACGTTTTAAGTCTAGTTTCAGGTGATAAATAAAACATTAATTATAGAGAGGATAACAAAATAAATAAAGTTATAACAAATAGAACTATTGAATTGCCACTTGGTCCAGTTCATCAATTTTCATCTTTAAGAGAAAAAAATCATTGGGGTGTCATATAAAAACAGGTTTCAGGGTGGATGGTTTCAAGCGAAAACAGCAGCTGAAGCAATAAACGTGATTCATTTTTCATAAACTAAAAAAACATTCATATCTTCTTAGATGAAAATATTTTTGATATTTATGTTTATTATTGCAAAAAATAGAAATATGATGAGAGATATGTATACATATACATCATAAAGTAAAAATACAATAATCAAATATAAATTAGCCCACCAGTAATGTTTTCTCAGATTTTCTATATCAATAACATGATGAAGAGAAAATGTGTATATACATATATAACATATAAAAATATGTGTATAATAAAAATTATCTGTTTCAACATTTCTTCTTCTTAAAATATTATTTTTGTTATTTTCGAATTTATGCACATTAAGAGTTGAAATATTAGTTAATTATAATTAATTAAAAAATAATCACATATTTGTTATAATAATTACATGATTACATTACTTGTCAGATTAATGCTGTCATACATATTAGAAAAATGATTTGTAAAACAAGCTACTTCATAAAGTAACAAATTTGAAAGCCTAATAAATAATAGACTTGAAGAATGTGAATTAAACATTGTTGTGCTAGAAAAGAAACAAAAAAAGTATTGTCAATATGAAAGTTTTTGTATACAGTATAGTTTTTAAATAATATTATATAATATATAAT